TCAAGCTGAGTTCAAATGAATATATGGGTTATTAATAATTTGCTGCGTGTGTGGTCTGCATATGTGTATATATGTATATATTGGACAACTGGATATAGTGAAAGTGAAACGGATTTCAAATGCATGTTACACTTGTAACTAACTCACTTCGCTGTGGCGGCGCCCTTATATACCTGCGCTCGTACTTATGACAACTCAAGAACGTTCTGAAGTTTATCGCTCATTCTCTTTCTCTTGCTGTTCGCAGTGTTCATCCAACTTGACATTCTACGTCATTCCTCGAACATTCTGCCTATTTCTCGTTGTTCACTTCGCGTTGCCGCAGTATTCGCCACACTGCCCTCCACCTAAGTCTGATCGTCCCGATCAGACACACTTGCTGCTACAAACGTTGCTAGTCTTTCATCTTGGTTCCCGGTCTCCCAGCTGTCTGGATTCGATGCACTGCGTCCCTCAGCCATTTGCCAATCCTATACGGACCATTCCAGTTACGATGTTGTTCGGAGGTGAAGCCTTAATTCGGCTGCGGCATGTGCAACAACACCAAATCGCCTTCCTGTAGCTCCTATCGGCTCGATGCGTTACTGGACATTGCTTCCAGCTTATCTCCGGTGGTGCACCATCTCACATGGTCGTGCTTCTGCCGGCCACTGGTGGTGACCAGACCATGTCTCCTCTCGTGGGCACCCTTTTTGCCAGATCTATGCCGCATCCTCTGTCCATCACTCCCAGGCTCTTGCCTTCGTGCTGCACTGCCTTTAGCACATCTTGCTAAATCCGGTTCCTCACGCTGAAACTTGCCCAGTGTTTCCGCATCTCGCTCTTTCGCCGACGTCAACCTCATTGACCGGACATGTATAACCTCATCCTTGGCTTCCGGCTTAACTGCTCGCCTTTGCCGACCACTTTTTTCGGGACACTTCAAAGCGCGCCTACTGCTTCCACAGCCGCTTCCATTTCCGGCCACCGGCGTATCACCATAGCAACGTGGTTTAGCGGCTTTCCTCCTGCCGGAAACACTGTGTTGCACTAAATGCAACACCGAGTTGTCGCACTTACTTCACTATGAAT